AAGCACCATACACAACTAAAAAACACAACAATCATACCATTCGAGATAGGGGCAGCGAATCTTTAGCCCCAGGCCTGTCGGAACAGCCAGGTTTTAAGGGCTGTGCGGAAGGCCTGGAGGGTGGTGAGGGTATGAATCTCCACGGGGAGTTCGTTCCAGAGGGTCGGAGCGGCCACAGAGAAGGCTCTCCTCCGGGTAGTCGCCAGTCGACACTGGCCAGCTTATGGAATTCGGAGGAGGCCTAATCTGTGGGATCTAATCGGTCTAGAGGAGGTAATTGGCAGCAGGCGGTCTCTCAAGTACCCAGGTCCAATAGTTTCAGTTCCCCTAAGAATTGAATCTCCCATCCCATTTTTTTCTCACCTTTTTTCCATAGGAAAGTTGGGATACTTTCCTTACTGTCACTAGAATGCTGGGTTATCTCTCTTTTTAGAAACCATTGATCTTTTATAGGTATCTAGCTGCATATTTTCTTCAGGGGGGGAGGCTATAAAAGCGATTGTTCAATTCCAGAGGGGCTTCATTGGTGTGAGCTAGGGTAGATAGTAGGGGAATTGCTCTTGGTTGCTCTTTTTTTCTAAAAGTGACATGTTTCCATTGGTTTTCGTTTTTAGGTTCATTATTTAAGTTGTTTGTTTCCTATTCTGCTCAATTGGGGTATATTCCTTAAGTTCATATATGGGATCATATTTTTGGGAAAGGTATTTTCTCCCTACTGTGTTTAATTTTGGTGTATTCTTGCTTTGGTTGGGATTATATGAACGGTGTCATGTCCCCCTCGGAGCCTGAAACTGCAGAGCAGGATGAGTTGGAGCTGCAGCCAATGGATTGGATTGGATTTATTCGACTTGCATGCCGCCCTATTCCCAAAGGGACTCAGGGCGGCTGAACAAAAGCCAAGGGGAGGGGAACAAATAGAAAAAAGTAAGACAAAAAACAAGACAACAATACAAACAATTTAAAAATCATAACCAATTCGAGTAGGAGTGGAACTCAACAGCCCCAGGCCTGCTGGGAGATAGCTATAAATGGAGATAACTATAATTAAAGGATGATGGAAAGTGATCTTACAAAACTTCCAGATGTTTGAAATATTTACTGTACTTGCTGAATGTATAATTATGTTTTTTTTAAATCAAGGCTGAATGTATTTATGGTTTATATGACTACCCATCTCACAAAATTTGATGTTCCAAGGTGGCCAGAAAAAATGAGAATCCCCAATGATAGAAAAGCAGGGCCAAATGTGGAAAGGAAAGAAAGTTCTCATTGAAGAGATGTTCCATTTGGATTTATACCACAGCTGCTAACTCAAGTTTCATAGAGTACTTTAAAATATTGGAGTTGGGCAAAAATATATACATTCATAACAAGAAGGAAAACAACCCTATGAGATAAATATTTAGTTTCAGGAAGAAGACTAATGGAACTGTTTATTCTGACCTGTGGAATTCCTGAGGTGTTTTGTACATACATACAGAATGGATTCTCCTACTGTTTCCTTGCCTGTTTTGACTTGAATACTTGTTCCATCTCCATCAATGCTCCCTCAATACTTTTACATGAAGTTCAGGACACGATGGCTGGAAATTTGGGAATTACAGTCCTCACTTCACCTTCTTTGGCTTATGTACAAACCTCTGCCTATATGGATTATCTCCCATGGTTATATCTTTTTTACTCTCTATATGACATTTCAGGACTCAATCGTGCATACTCTACACACCCTATTACAGAATTAGAGATCTCAAATGCAGGTCATCCTTGTCAGAATATTCATGAACTGGCAGAGACATGGTAACAAGATCAGCCAATGAATAGGGCTTAGTAATAAGGTCAGCCAATGGGAGCTGAAACAGTTTGGAGTCTGGGTGTGGCTTAGTTCTGAACTGAAACTAAGAGAAACTCATTCTTGGTGTAGCCTGCCTGCTTACAATCTCTCCTCTGTAGTATGTGGGAAGAATCTGATGTTGGTATTGTACATTTATTCATGTGTTTTTATGTATATAAAGAAGTTGATGGATCCTATTCATTAGATAAAAATTCATGGTTTCATTTCTCTCCCCATTCCTCAGCTTTCTCCTCTTCCCCAGGTCCAGGATTTCTCTGAATGAAAGACTAAACAAAATATAAAAGGATGCTTAAAGAAAGATTTATTTTATTGTCTCCTAATAAAGGATTAATCACATCACATAAACTAGAGAATGAAGAATGTGTTCAAATTCCAGAAATGTCAGAGAATGAAGGAGGTACAGCACAATCAGATTTGCAATATTCTTCTATAATTTCTAATTTTAATTAAAAAAAATAGCTTCAGCTTTCCTGTGGGATTCATTTCCTGGCCAGACCCACCCATTAGGGCTGTACAAATGGGGTGATTGGAACTGCAGTAATTATAAAAGAAGGATAGCGAGGAACAATGCAGACAGAGTGAAACCCAAAAGAATGCAGGGAAAATGTGACCTTCTAAAAAATAGGATTGGCTTTAAGGTAACGTTAGAGCACTCCAAAAATCCCCTCTTTCTATGGCAGAGCATTGTCACGAAAATGGTCTTGATCAAATTTGGTTCTGATCAGAATAAAGTGAATCGATTTTAACAGGCAATCCTTTCAGGCAATGAAAAACAATCCTCCGAGTGCTACGAACACCAGAAAAACGATTAAAAATCTTTGAACAATAAGTATATTGAACAGGGTTTTCTGAGATTTTTTTCCCCGTATATCTGTTAGGACAGATATGTTTTAAATCAGCCTCTGGGAGATGGATAAATACATTGGCTTCATAATGGCCCCTGGACTCCATTATATTTTTACAATAATCTGCAGAAACTGTCACTGGAAAATCTACATGCTTCCGTTTGAAGTCTTCAAAACCGTCAGCTTCTGTTTCCAGGATTATCCAAAGAACTGAAAAGAGCAACCAGAGTAGGTGGATTCCCTTGGCAGCCATGGCTTCCGTCTCTCTCTCTCTCTCTCTCTCTCTCTCTCTCTCTCTCTCTCTCTCTCTCTCTCTCCCCCGCGTGGTCCCTACA